GTTTGTGTATTATAAATGTTTTTGTCTTGATTGTTTTAGCTACTTTTTATTTGCGAACATATATAAAATAAAAAGTTTTAAATTTTTTAAGATTAATATTCAAAGATTCTTCTATCAAGAAAAAAGTTAATTAGACCAAAAAAAAAGGAAAGAAAGTTAATAATAATTTTCCTAATATTTGTTATTGGCACTTATGATATTATTCTTGCACTGTTACTACCGTGATTATAAGCAAGAAATATTGAAAAAATAATCTATTCAATTTTCTTTTACTTTTATTAAAATTGAGGGTGTGGGTGGGTGAGGATGTGTTTCAAAAATTATTCTAAGCTACTTACGACGCGTTTCGCCCTTGCGTAAGGGACTCGTCAGGTAAATTTAGAGGGGATATAACGATTCGTAACGAGAAATTTACAGTGTTTTCGTAATTCGAAAGTCCTGTTATCGTTTTTTATACACGGCTTTCGTAACGGATTTTGACAGGGCTTTCGTATCAAACATATACAGGGCTTTCGTAACTAAGTTCTGTATTGTATTCATAACCAGATTGAAAGACTAATACTGTATAAAAAACAGGGTATTCGTTGCGAATACTCTTGCTTACAAATATCTGTTAAGTCAGTAGATGCGATCCATTTGTAACAACTGTTATGTACTTGAACGGTCCAAATACGTAGTGCTATCCTGTGTTGTAGCATAAGTTCTGCGAATTTTCTTCTGTTCAGCAACAAATTTATTTTGCGATAAAGAATCGGCTCGTAAATAATTTGATATTATCTTTTCTTAAATCTTTAAAAATTTACTGGTATAAATTTTTAAAAAGTTAAATATTCAATTTTTACGAATCGCAGAAACTTTTCTTAAAACAAAATAATTTTTGGATCAAAATATAATATATACTTTCGTTAATCGAATCTTTGAATATTAATCTTAAAAAATTTAAAACTTTTTATTTTATATATGTTCGCAAATAAAAAGTAGCTAAAACAATCAAGACAAAAACATTTATAATACACAAACAAATAAATGAACAATCAAACTTATAATAAATTATAAAAGTGCCAATCAATAATAGAATTATTAATGATACAATAGACACACAAATAGATTTTCGTAAGAGTAAACTTTTGTATGCCATGCAAGAGAAAAGATATTTTAATCGATGCCACCAATAACCTTGTCTTAGTAACGAAAACATATTTGGAAAACGTGATGTTGACTAAATGAGAACAATATTTAGAATAATTTTATTTTAAGAAAATGATTTACCTGTTCATCAATCCACCAATGAATACTACATGTTATATGAGATGTTTTTAGATAATAAAGTCGACATGTAAAATTATCTTTTGTAAGTCTTTGTGAATACTTAATCAATGAATTTGGATTTAGCAGAAAACTATACTCGGTAATAAAGAATTTAGAATCACCGTAAAATGATGCATTTGATAAATGTTTAAATCCATCAATGAAACGAACCATTGTTTGTTTTGATTGAATAGGGGATTTATATATAAGATATTGTGTATATAGAAAAATACGAGATAATTCTTCAATCACATAATCATTGTACTCACTAAAAACGCTTATTTCAAGTTTATGAATTTGTTTAAATTGATAATGTTTCATTATTTCAATCATATCACTTGTCACATCATCTTTAATCGATAATTCATGAAGTTGAGGCATAGTAGATTCTAGAGGAATTAATCCTAATAAATCATTTAATGATAATATAGATAAATGTTTTATTTGGTTTAAATCAATGGTAGAAGTAAGATTCTTCAACGATATTGAACATTTAAGTTCAAGTTCTTTGGAATGAGTAAAATAATGATTTTTATCAATGGTATCGTCTTCTCTTATTGTAATTTTATTAAGACCATCATAGATGATCGTGTGGTTAAGCGCTGTCAAATGAATACATAATGGTTGCGAAGAAATATCGAGATGATCAGGAGCAAAATGTGGTATTGAAAATAAATAATTGCCTTTGTATCCGACAAACCAATGTTTAATTTCAAGCCAAAATGGAGTAGAAAATGACTCGAGAGTATTTGCCATTAAAATATTTGGCGCATCGAATTTGAAATTGAACATAATGAATGTATTCGTTATTCTTTGCCATCGATATCCATCGAAAAGATTTTGCCAACCTTTAGTTATCAGTTCCAAATGTTTCAGATAATGAAGTTGTGATAAGAATTGTTCAATTTCTTCAATTGATATACGATAACCTATAAATCACAAATCGAAAGCTTTTTGTTTTACTTATAAATCAGAAGACTGAGAAAAAATAAATATCAAATATCATCTAAGAAATGAGTAAGATTTTCTCCAGATGTCAAGTTTATTTTAACAATTTAATATAGATTATCTTGAATAGAATATTACCCTTACTTTTATGATCAACTTTAATTCATTACAATGCATATGAAATCTTCGTTATTTTTATTTTAATACGTACCATGGATTTTTAGATTAAGTCGAATCAACTGATTGTTTGGTATGTTAAATTTAAACTTTAACGAATTCATATTCAGACAAACGCAGAGTGATTTGAGTTGTGGTGTTTGTTGGAAAATTGTTTCAAGTTCATTAACTGAACATTTTTCAAGTTTTAGACTGTGAAGATATGGAAGTGGTCCAGACATCAAGACATCGCGATTGTTTAAATGTAAATGATTTAATTGAGGTATAACTTGAGTGTAATTGTTAATTAATAGTGTATGTGTATCATTGGGATATTTATATTGAACAGTTTCAATATCAAATGAAAGAGAACGCAATTGTTTGAGTTTATACAAATCAGAAAAAATAGTTCTTAATGATTGAAGTTCAATTCTGATCAATGTAAGTGAATGCAATCGTGTGAATTGTTCAATTCGGAAATGAGAAAAGAAAAGTTGAGACTGACCAGGTGTATCATTATCATCGCAAATTGTTAGAGAAATAACTTGTTCTGGTTGAATGTTTCGACAAATGAGATTATAATCGGACTTTCGAATCGATTTGAAATTTAATCGGTAAGCAGAATTGTTGAGCAGCACAGAGTTAACATAATTACTGATATTAGAAAACGTACGAAGAATTTCTTGTGCCGAAAAATAGATGAATAATGTATGCAGTAATTCAACAGGTAATTGATCGAAAAAACAATAATTAGACATAATAAATGATTATTTGAAGATATTCGAGTCGTTGATAGGTGAAAAGAGTAGTTAAAAATGACGATGCACAGAAATATGATGATGTTTAAATACAGAACTGTGTGCACGTTTTTTTTTTTCTTCCTTTTTCGTCAATATTATGATGGTTAAGCAGAATTGAAAAAAGCGTGTAAAGAAGAAACGAACTAAAAATTTTCGCGTTTCCCTATGAGTCATTCGTATGTGCATATTACTCTACACTACTAAAGTACACGTCCCATTCTGACAGGAGTTTTTCATCTCTATATGTTAAGTTGTAAATTTGCAAAATCAATTGTTTACTCATAAATTAGACAGATAATTTACAGATGCTCGAGACCTGTGACAGATTTATACAATGTTTCTTTTCAACAAAATATGAATATACAGTACAAAATATGAAAACAAATGGCAATCTCTTCATTTATAAGATCGATAGTTGTTCATATAGGATGCAGCAGAGTTCGCATTTTCTTGCATTTTGAAGAAAATGTACAGGAAATATAGGGGTCCATCAGATCTCAGTTCAAAGATCAGATTAAATGAGTGAAAGATTTGTTCCATCAGATCCGATCTAGGCACGCATGAGGGGCAACCCTAAAGGGGTACCCTCAAGTCTTCAAGGACTATACTATGGGGGCACGTATAGGTCCTCAAGGGCTATACGATGGAGGTACTCCTAAGTCCTCAAGGGCTCTACTATGGGGATACCTTCAAGTCTTCGAGAGCTTTACTATGGGTCACCCATATGTCCTGAAGGGCTATAGTATGGGGGCGCCCATAGATCCTTAAACTCTATACTTGGGGAGTATCCATAGGTCCTATGGTATATATTATGGAGATGTCCATAAGTCCTGAAAGGCTATCGTATAGGAGTATCCATAAGTTGACAAGGGTTTCGAGTTAGTCAACAACAGAGCTCCCATGAGCTTCAGCTGTTGCATACTTTCTTATCGATACTCTCATAGGATAGCCCTTGAGGACTTATAGGTTCCCCCATTGTATAGACCTTGAAGATCTATGGGTCCCCCATAGAATAGCCCTTGAAGACTTGAGGGTACCCCTATAGTATAGACTTTGAGGACTTGAGGATACCCTGTAGTATGGCCCTTGAGGACTTGAAGGTACTCCTATATGATAGGCCTTGAAGACTTATGTGTACCCCCGTAGTATACTTTTCAGAAGATCCGTTCAAATAGATCAGATCACTCAAAAGATCTATTATGACGATCAGGTTTGCGTCGTAATTGATGGAACTTATCTCTACATCCAAAAATCAGCGAATAACCGTTTCAACGCAAATCCTATAGTGTGCACAAAAGTGGTTACGAAAATGCTCGGTGTCATTTCTTCTCACAAAAGTGTACATATTTATCGAAGTCGAGTTATAGACTTTCCAAAAAGCCCTGGATTTTGAGGTATTTTCCATTTTTCTCAGCCATTAAACACTTTTATTGAAAATTAGTGCAATATTCAGAATCAGCATGAAAAATTGCATTGAATGGTGTATAATTTGTTAATTTTACAAATAAAATATTTTTTGACAAAAATTCACAACAAGGCTGGGTGAGGATATTTTAATCGAAAAAAACGTTTTTTCCGAATTGGAGTTATTTTACTTTTATTAATATCCGACGTATAATAAGACCATATTATGCCAAAATAATCATTAATTTACTCAAGAAAACGAGATGCTCTATTGAAAAATGCTCAATGTGCGCCAGAAAGGCCTAGCAGCCGAAATGACATCAGATTCGCGAGACAAATATTATTTACTATAGCTAGGCATGACACAACATGAATCACAGGCGCACACTCACGTTCATATTCACATTTTTTCTGCTTCCATATCCACCCAAACTCCAATTCTTTACTGAAAAATTTTTCAGTGAAAATCCTGTTTCATTGTAAACGATCTCCGCTATAGTATAAGCGGTATCTGGACATTCCATCCGAGACTCATTTTACGCTGTCTACTAGCAGTACAGAATTGCGTACTGGACATCAAAGCGATTGCACTGAAAATATCGGAATCATGTTACGCAGCGTTTTATACGTAACTTGTATCCTTCTTTGTGTCAGTGCCAATAATGAATTATGTTTTCATATTTTATTAACAAAAGATATTTACATCAGGGAACGAGAACATTACGTCAGAGAATGAGATTTTCTACGCTTCCTAACACGCCCATTCCTACAAGATGAGCGTCCCGCTCATCTACTGTTTTTTTTTTTCCTCTTTTTCTTTTTTTAATCACGCGTCTTGAGTTTGATGCTGTAAGCCTCTTGATGGTTGGATGTTGAGACGCCCGTTGGTGGCTAATTTCCGTCATAAAAGTGTTGTTTCATCCCCAATTATAACTATCGAACCAAATGTCAACTTGAGTGATGATGTCGTTGTGATGATATTCGATGTTGGGATGCTGGTTAGGATGCTTGTGGAT